TTTCACCCACTCTTATCAATGCAACTGATGTAAAACTCATGTAATGTAGGTCAATTGGGGGAAATGGGCCCCCTATCAGGCACTGTTTATGGGCGTGGACATCAGTATAACCTTTCTAAAGACACTGTGGAATTATGTACCAAAACGAAATCTACACAGTCTTTAATCCAGCAACTGCCCTTCCAAGAAGTTCTTCTAAGAAGATAATTAGATGAGGGTTTAAGTTGTATGTACAAGGGCATTCTTCACATGGACGTCCATAGAAGATGACCGGTTAAATAATGTTGGTATATGCGAACCACAGGGCTCACTCCCTGATCGTCATTAAGAAGGACAAAGCAGGACTATTATTAACACAGAAAAACGTTGGCCTCATTAACCAGATTACAGAACTGCACACATAGCATAACCCCAAGTGCATGGGGATCTGGGGTTGCGTGCGTGCGTGTGTGTGTGTCTGCAGAGAGCTGTCTGATGTACACTCCCTGGAATAGCAGAGGTGAGGCCAGACCCTCTGTAGTAGACAGGCAGGGTAGCCCCGGCTGAGCAGAGGAGGACAGGAGCAGATCTGGGAGTTGGGAGGAAGGGGCAAGTGGGGTGAGGGCTCCTGCAAACTCAGTGCTGAGAATGGGGTAGCCAGATGGAGCAAACAGAAACACAGGATGCTCTACTAAATTTGAATTTCAAATAAACAACAGACAATGGTTTTTTTAGTATAAGTATGTCCCATGAAATATTTGGGGTATACTCATACTAAAAAAAAAAAAAATTCAAATTTCTAAAATGTGCATACTTTAAAATTCAAATTAGCTGGTGTCCTGTGTTTTATGCGGCAACCCCTCGCCGAGAGGCTCTGGAGTGCATCTCTTGATGCCTCCTTGGAATGTCCCATGCCATCCTGTGTCCTCCCCTGTCTCTGGCTTAGGTCCAGTTGACCTGCCTAGGAACTGGAGTCACCAGTCTCTGCCTTACTCCAGGAGTTTTACAAAGAGTACAGTGTCAGAGAAGGATATATATATATATATATATATATATATATATATATATATATATATATATATATATATATATATATATATATATATATATATATATATATATATATATATATATAGTCTTTAGTGCCAGAAAAGCCACTCCTGGGCATCCAGTGAGAAGCCTTAAGCTGAACACAAAACTCCCGAGTCCCAGCTGGTACATCTGTAAGATGGAGATAGCAAGGTCTGTCCAGTAGGCTGCCATGGGGATTAAATGAGGTAATATATGTAAAGTGCCTGGCATACAGTCAGCGCTTAATACAAGCTGACCCCCTTCCCTCCCTGAAGCCCATGCTCTTGCCCCCAGGGATTATAATCCCTCAGGGATTATAAATCAAGCATCTCCTGTCGTCTCATGGTTTGATGATTGGCCTTTTTGATCTTTTCCGTGAAGCAGCAGCTGCTGTGAGCTGACACTCTTCACCTGACTTCACCTTTCTCCAAAATCCCCAGCAGCAGTTCAGTTCCTTATCTGCACTTTGCACTCTCCCGAGGAGGGTGGAGGAGGATCAAACTCGCTTTAATAGCGGGCTCGAGAGGATGTCAGCCAAGGAGGGCCACAAACAGCAGGGCCTGATGCCATTTGGGTAGGGCGACTTCCTGGATAGAGACTGCAAGAAGGCTGTCCTGAGTAGGGGGGCGCCCTGGCCAGTAGGGGGCCCCTTCTCCTCTGGAGCCTGTCTGTCTGTCTGTGTCTGTTTGCTGCTGCTCAGCACAAATGACTAAACGTGCAGTGGAGGGCAGGGCTGACTTCCTTCCCTGAGAGCCAAATCTTCCTAGTCCTTTTGACTACTGGATCTCCCTGTGCCTCCCAAGGAGGCCCAGAAAGTTTTTGAAAATCTACCCAAGGTTAGTTAGTTAGACATAAGCTCAAGAAGCTAGTGTTTATCAGTAAACCCCCAAATATGAGCTTATCCAGGTCTTGCTGATAAGTCCAGTGATCAAGGAGGCCCAGGCCACCACTGTGGGTACTTGTAATGTATCACATGGTACAGTCCCAGCAGTGGGGGCCCCTACTGGTTCCTCCTACCTTCCCTCCTTGTCCCCCCACTTTGGGTGTTCCAAAAGTCGGTGCACCTCACTTTGCCAGATCCACAAATTGCCCTATGGTCCGGTCCTAAGCCAGACCCATGGGGCTTGGTGATAGCCCCAGCCTTGGCTCCTCTGTGCCTGAATCTGGTGTTAGCACAAACGTCTGTGTGCCACTCTGCCGGGCAGCACAAAGACAGCAGCCATGCAGACTGTGGAGCTGGTAGAAACTGCACAGGTGACTGCACAGGGACTCGTTCAACTACAGTAACCTGTCTGCACTGGTCTAGGGTTTGCCTGGGCCTTGCCTGCAAGACTTGTCTTAGCATTAATGACTTAGAGACCTGACACCATTACGTGGCTGACATAGGACAGTTCCTTCCTTCTGGTCCTGCTGTGGAACGCCAAGCATCCTCATGTCTGGACTGCCTCCACTGTGCCCTGCAGGTGGGAGGAAGGACCTACCGGCCTCAACATTATCCTAATGTCTTGGAAACTCCTTTGAATCTCAGACCCTTTGTGAATCTGCTGGAAGCTCTCACTCAGCCCTGTCCAGTAGATCTTTCTGCAATGCTGTCTATCTGTGCTGTCCAATACGGCAGCCACAAGCCCTGTGTGGCTTCTGAACACTTGATATGAGGCTGGTGCGACTGAGAAACTGAATTTTTTTTTTTTTAGCTGAGCCATCCTGCCACCTGTTGGCAGCTCAGCGGCAGCTCAGCTCGGGCCGGGCATCGAACCGCTATTGCTCAGAGCTCAAACTCTTGAGCGAGCTCTTAACCAGCTGAGCCACTCGGCCAGCCCGAGAAACTGATTTTTAAATATGGAGTCCATTTTGACTGATTTAAATATAATAGTCACATGGAGTTAATGGCTACTCTATTGCATAGCACAGCTCTAGACAAGTGGTCAGTAAAGGGCAGGAGAGTAAATATTTCAGATTTTGCAGGCCATACAGTCTCTATGGCAGTCACTCAACAATGAAGTTGCAGTACATGCAAACAGTCATAGACAATATAACAATAAATGGGCTTGGCTGTGTTTTAATAAAACTTTATTTACCAAAACAGGCTGGGGCTGGATGTAGTCAGGGGGCTATGGTTTGTTGATCCCTGCTCTAGACCCTTCCTAGGAATAAATACGCACATCCTCATACTTCTGGAATTTTGCCTCCAATGGCAAGGGGTTTATACATCTTTTATGCCCAACTCTAGACTCTGCCCATGAATTCCAGGCTAGAGCTGCTGTTTTAAAAGGGCTCTAAGAAGGCACTCTCAGATCTGCTCTGGGTGATACAGAAGTGCTTGGCACTGTTCCTGAGAAGGGGAAGTGTGGTCAGGATCAATAGGACACCTTTTTCTTAAAGCTTCATGAGAGTCCAGGCCTCAGACAAATATCTACAAGGATTGTTGAATGAGGACACCACGAGATCCCGGCCATGTCCCCCTCTGTGTCAGCCCCTCCCAGGATCTCTGCAAGTACCAACTCTAGTGTGACTTACTCATTCCCCCAACCATCCTCAAACATAGCCAATCTTCCCAAGGCCACATATTGTAGAAGCAGCTCATGGCCAGAGAGGCTGTAAGCAGCTTCCCAGGAGGCCTCTCTAGTCAGGAGGGTGTAGCTCAAACTTGGAGAGACTTAGTTTGGGTTCAGGGCCAAGATTCAGGGTGAAGATGTAACCAGGATGACCAAGATCACAGGCTTGATATTGGGAGAACTGATTGGTTTTTCAAAAGAAACTGGGCTATCTCAAGAGACCTCACTTTAAAGACAGGTAGGTCTTTTTAGGAGCCCTCAGTTAAAGGTGACTGGGGTTATGTCGGGAGCCCTCAGTTAAAGGCATGTGGAACTTTCTCTGGAGTCTTCTTAGGAACCTGTGCTTAAAAATAACTGAGGCTTTCTCAGGAGCCCTCAATTGCTCAGGTTAAAGCATCAAACTGTGTCCCCAATCCCCCTACCACCAGGGGTGGATTTTGCCAAGGAGGTAGGATTTTCCCTCTTTCGGAGGTGTATTCTTGGCCAAGATGAAGGTGGTATCTATTTCTGTATTACTACAGCTTCATTTAAGAAAGCATCCCTTATTCTTTAAGCTCTTGGAGGCAAGGGAAAGAAAGCTTTAGAATAACTGGCATGCTTTATTAAGGTATTATGGCATTACTGTTATTAATTATCATTAACAATATTAAAATATGCCTATTAATGATCTCAACACGAAATCGCACTGTGGATATTAGCCAAGAGCAGCATAATTACCTATTAATGAGATGTAAATTTTCCAGGGAAATGACAGAGATCTAGAAGGACCACCTTCTGAACTACCATAATAAAGTTAATAATAATAATAGTGTACAATTCGAAGATATTAGTGTTAATTTGAACATTCACACCATATTGTAACAGGCTGAGAGAAGTGGAAATTATTTGCATAACTCAAACCAAGGAACCCTAATCCATGCTATTAAGGAAAAAGTAGTAATTGTTTTCTGAATGATAGAAAACTGACCCTTTCCCGTCACTGTACTGAGCAGAAATTTTTTTCAGTGACCTAAATTTTATTTCTTTTACTTAGAGTTTATAGCTCTCTTATTTCCAAAACCAAGCCGAGGTATCTTATATAATTAAGCCCAACAGAAAACAGAATTAAAAAAATAAAAACACAACAAAACCCAGTTAAGGGTCCAGAGAAGTAAATGCTACCAGGCCCTCAGGATAAGCTACTGCAGCTTGAGCTCTGATTTCAATTCTCAGCTTCCAGGAAATGCGGTTGAGCAATTTAAGTAACTGAGTTACTGCTCAGTAACCAGCCTTGTTAGGACCGGCGCAAGCTCTGAATCTGAAGCGGCCCCTTCCTGCAGCCCAGAGCAGCGTGGCCCTGCCTGCAGCTATTAAGACCTCACATGTCAGGCCCATGCTGGGAGGGAAGTCACCTACCTTCATAGCTGGCATGGAAGCCCTGCGCGCTGACCGCGTAGTCACTGACGAGGCGCAGAGAGAGGGTGGTGGCCGCACTGACAATGGTGGCTGGCAGCTGAAAGCCTGTGAGCCTGAAAAGACAAAAGGGTACAATTTAGGGAGAATGACCCCCCTTGGGAACTGTACATCCATTACGCATTTATTGAGCACCTGTTGGATGCACAAGGCTGATCTAGGCACAGGGAGGGATATGAAAGAAGTCTAACACCAGATGTTTGCAAGGTGTTCAAAGTGGCGATGGAAGCCAGGCATCTGCTGCCACACAAACATGACGGGCTACTCCCCCGAAGCCACGGGCTATCCCCAACCTGGAGGCCTGCCTTGGGTATGTCTCTTCTCTTTTCATCTCTGCTTGTCTTCTCCTGGCGCCCTCCTTTCTGGCTGAGGTCCTTCGAGGCGCTTAGGGAGATTTCACCACAAATGCACAACTACTAATTGCCAATAGACAATAGTTATTCATGGGTTGAGGATGATATATCCAACTCTAAGTAGAAGAATGTGGACGCTTCTTATCGTAGACTTGATTCTTTAAAAGGAGTGTCTACAGCTTTTATAGAAATGATAAGTGCTTATTATTTTTAAAAGGTGAAAGCAACAAACAAAAACCCAATGCAATCTAGAAATAATCATTCTTGACAGCTGACACACAAAGAGGTGGAAGGATCAATAGATGGGATCATAGTCAATGAAATAATTGCATACAAATGGGATCATACTGTACTTGCTTTTAAAATTAAAATGCCTTTTTTTTTTCCCTGCAAGTGAAGAAAAAGAAACGGGATGAAATAGAAGGAATTATTGAACCTGAGATAATATGTTTTTAACACAAGAGTCATTTCTAAAAGATTCTTCTAATGTTAAAAAGATAATAAGAGGAAGCTCTCGCTGAACATTGGGAAACATATTTTAGGCAAGAAGGTGTCCACTGCTGGATGTCCACACAGGTGGTCCCCACAGGCGGCCTGATGGTGCCCACAGGTGGTAGTGAGGTGGCCAGGCTCCTGTCTTCCTGTGTCCTTTGTCCCAATTTTAGGCTCACTCTGCCTCCCCCTACTCCCATCAAGGCTCTGGCAGGGAATTCAAGGTTTACCTTTACTCCAATTTTTAAGTTTGGGATATCTGTGGTGCCCCTGAATCCCTCTCCATACCTCCCCTTGCTATATAATATCTGGATGCCCGGATGCCCCCTGGAGAGCATAAGTATTGGGTTTGGGTTCAGGCAAGTTAAATCACAGGTTTATTCATGCCCACTGTGAAAAGCCTTGTGCCAGAGGAAGCCCTTGTCCTTCCTATCATGTTACAGGATTCATGTTAACGCAGAATAAGCTTGAGGAAAAGAGAAGGAAAGGTGATGAAACTGTGAAATGAGTGGCCCAATAAGTCTCAAGGTCATCTTCTCTTCAGGAATAAAAACATCCAGCAAAGGATCTTTTACTTCATGCCATGTTCTCTCCCCTTTGCTGCCCCTGTCTTTCTCAGTCTCCCTCACTTTCTCACATGGGTCAAAATTTATATTTAAAATAATGAAACCATACCATCTTACACTGGAGAAGGCCTTTCTAAGAGTGACATGTTTAGAGAACTCCTTTGGCTCCTACCTGCTCATCGTTCTTCTGGGGAGCTGTCATTGCCTGGGGTTCTGAGAGGTACCCCACCAGCTCAGTAACCACAGAACTGGGCCAGTGACCGATTGTGGCAGATCACTCAGCATTACAGACTGGTTTGAGGCACGGAGAAGGAGTAAGAGGGCACATCACTAAAGCAGGGTGGTTCCGAGTCCTTCCGTGGGATATGACAAACAAACCCTGAGAGTCTTTTATTTTTGGATTCTAAATCACTAGAAATATAAACTCGGGACTGACAGCAGCCTTTTTATCATTACACAGAGCCTATCTTCTTTAGAGAAAATGATATCCGTATAGATATAGACAAAGTTGAACAGTGAGGGGAGAAGAGAGACAGCCCTGATGATATATAGTCCTGAGATGCTTGGCCCAGCCATGCAGAGAGATCTATCTCTGCAGTGCCCTGGTACATGAGCCCACATTCTTTCTTCCTTTGCCTGCTTGCTTGTTTCCTTCCTTCCTTCATTGATCTTGTTGTTGTTGTTCAAGGTAGTTTGATTTGGGTTCTGTCTCCTGAAATTGATTGAGTACTAATGAATACAGCATGAAACCCCAGAGGCCTTACAGGAAAATATCAACTGATTTAATTACATGAAAATTAAAAACGTGTCTGGAGAGCTAAAAAAATTCTTAAAAAAATAATAATAAAGAGAAAAACACAAACTGGGAAGATTATGTATTATATGTGTGACAGGAAGAGGGTTAGTATTCATAATCTATAAAGAACACTTACAAATGAATATGAAACAGGTAAACAGGTAAAGAGGAAAAGGGCAAAGATATAAACAAACAAAAACAGAAAGGTGATCTACCTAATTAATATAAAAAATATGAAAATGGAATCCACCACTCCTTTTTCACTTAGCAGACTGACAAATCTCCAGGGTTAAGGAAAACAGATCCTGTAGTTATCAAAAGGATAATAAGGAAATACTACAAATTACACACATACATTTGATAACTTAGATGAAATGGACTAGTTTCTTGAAGAGCACAAACTACCATAACTTTCCCAATATAAAATAGATAATTTGAATAGTGTTATAACTATTAAGGAAATTGAATTAGTAATTTAAAATATCCCTCCCCCCAAAATACACAGGCCCAGATGGTTCCACTAGAGAATTCTATCAAATGTATAAAGAAGAATTAACACCAATTCTACACAGCTTCTTCCAGAAAATGGAGGAGGAAGGAACACTTCCAAATAAATTTTATGAGATCAGTATTGCCGTGATACCAAAACCAAAAATAGTACAAATAAAGAAAACTAAAGATCAATATCCCAATGAATATAAAGACAAAAATCCCTAACAAAATATTAGCAGAGGATTCAGCTAATATATAAAAACAATTATACACCATAGTCAAGTGGGGTTTATCCCAAGGATACAAGGCTGGTTCAGTATTTGAAAATCAATCAATGTAATTCACCATATAAAGAAGCCAAAAGTAAAAAAAAAATCACACAATCATATCAATTGATGTAGAAATAACACTTGACAAAATGCAATACTCTCATTCATGATTTTAAAAAAACTTTCAGAAAACAAAGACCAGAGGAAAATCCCCCCCCACCTTGATAAAGAACATCTACAAAACTCCTATATAGCTAACATCACAATTAATGGTGAAAGAATGAATACTTTTCCCCTAAGACTGACAATGAAGCAAGGACCTAACAATCCGATTGGAAAATCTGCAAAAGACACGAAGAAACATTTTACTAAAGAAGATGTATGTTTGGCAAATAAGTACATGAAAAATGTTCAGCCTCATTAGCTACGAGGGCAATGAGAAGTAAGACCAGGATGAGATATTACCGCATATCACTAAAAGAGATAAAATAAAAACAGTTACGACACCAGATGCTGGCACTGATGTGGAGCAACTGGCTCTCTTGCACAGTGCTGGTAAAATGTAAAATGGCACATACAGCCTGGAAGATAGTTAGGTTGTTTCTTAAAAAAAAACACACAAAAAAAAACTACACACACAGTAATACAACTCAGCAATCACACTCCTGGGTATTTTATCCCAAACAAGTGAAAGTTTGTGTCCACACAAAAACCTATACATGATTGTCCAAAGCAGGCTTTTATTTTATTTCTTTCCATAATAGTCAAAAACTGGAAATGACCACAGTGTCCTACAATAGGATGTACCTACTAAACAAACTGTGGTACATCCATAGCATGTAATACTACTCAGCAATAAAAAGGAGCGGGCTATCGATACATAGCACAACTTGGATGGATCTCGAGGGCATTATGTGGAGTGGGGAAAGGCTCATCTCAAAAGAATGACATACCAGATGACTCCATTTATACAATAGTTTTGAAGTGACAACATTAAAGAGATGGAAAACAGATTTGTGGCTGTCAGGATTTAGGGATGGTCCGAGGAAGGCAGTGGGGGTGACCGGAAAGGAGTGGCACCAGGGAGATCTTTGTGGGAAAGGAACAGTTCTGTATCTTGATGGTAGTGGTGGTCACATGAATCGACACGCCTGATAAAACGACACAGAAGGATACACACATTGCACCCACGTCAATCTCCTGGTTTTGATATTGCACTATAGTGACTTTAGACATAACCCAATGGGCAAAACAAGGAAGGATACATGGAACCTCTGTGTGCCATCCTTGTAACTTCCTGTGAATCTATAATTATATCAAAATTAACATTTTTGTAAAAGTATATATGTGGCCCACAGTACGTTTCTATTGGACAGTGCCTCAGTTCTCCATTAGATCTGACCTAAATTCAGTCGACCTAGATTGAGTCTGGAGCTCCCACTTGGTCCTCGCTGGGCCCCTCCCTTCAGCTGCCTCCTGTTCATTCCAATCCCCACATTGCTCCCCCCCAACCCCACCCCCGCCTCACACACGCACACACACACACACACACACATCTACAGCACTGGCTGGGTCCTTGGAAATGGACTGACCATCAGAACCATAACCCCAGCTCCAAAATAGAGGAGGGAGGAACACTCGCCTGTCCCTTGGCTTCCTGCTGACTTGCTCATGCCCTAGATAACCTGCCCCCACCCCCAGATAGTCGTTTCTGCTGACGACAGATTGCTGGCCCCAAGGGACCCTGGCATGAAAATACCCACTGGGGCCAGGCATCTATCTGAATCTGATCTCCAGGCCTCATCTTAGGTGGCCCTGGTAGTCTGTACCTCCAAATGGACCCAATTCACGGCAGCCACACTCGCCTTTCACCCACGGCCACCAGAATTATGCCCTTGGGTGCCCTTCCCAGGCACTCAGTCTGGGTGGGGACAGGCTGTTTCTTCAACAACACCCAGCTTCATGGAGGAATCTCACGCCTCACCAAGGCTTCTCCCATGAACTCACCTCTGGGAATGGCATTCTTCCCACCAAATAGAACTTGTTGATTTTGTTCCCCTAGTTAGTTCCATGATATTTCTGAGCTGC